CTCTCCCAATCCAAGCGGAGTAGGGAGCGGAGGCTCGCCAGGCTGTGCTGGAGTCACTGCAGCCATAGCAGGGCAGGACAAACAGCCCCGTAGCGACACGGACACGCAGGCAGGAACAGAGCACAGGGCTGGTACAACCAGCTGCTTGGGTTTGGGTCCTTCTTGGGGCTTAGTTGTTTGATAATAGCGCTGAAGCATGTGAGCCAGTGGGCAGAAGGCACCGGGTTGCTCTGTCCTCACCATGAGACCATAGCAGTTCATTTCCATCTCTGGGCCTCAGTTTACCGTCTTGGTGCCAACAATGACAGCAGCTTGCTCTCTGTGAAGTGTGTGGAGAGATCTTCTGTGGATAAGCATTAGAGCTAGGCAGTGACACACATGCTGGTCTTTACGTTAAAACAAAAAGTCCTCTGAACTGGTCTGTGTTGAGAGAAGTGATTCTCACCTCAGTCTGGTGTGGGGATTTGCTATTAGCCATCATGAGACTAAGACTATTTAAGTAAGTCTTCTCATGCGGGCTGGATTTGGGTGTGCAGCTCCACTAGGAAAGACTGTTTTGTTACAAATACTCCACTAAGGCTGTTCCCATGTACCAGTCAAGCCTTTCAGATCAATTTGAAGTGTTGAGATTTCACTTGCCATAAGTAACTTCAGCATATTAATACTGAAGTTAAACTTATTTTTTCATTAGGTTTTTCACGTTGATACACTGAGAAATTGAAAAACAACCCCAAGACTATCATGTCTTACCAAAATACTTGGAGGATGTATGTTACAGAGGAATGGGGACAGCGGTGTCCCTGCTGTGCGCTGGGCACACGCTCCCTGGAGCGCTGAGGCAGCCCTGGAGTTGTGCTGCGCTTCCTCCAGCCGTGTGCAGTTGGTTTCACATCTGAATCCTGCTGCTGGAAGGAGACTGCTTTGAAGCTTTTAGCACAGTCAGGCTTAGGAGATACTTAAAATAACTGCAATGTGAAAGCTTTGGACTAGGAGTCACTTTAAGGCTCGGTTTTCCTTTGTCACTTTCAGTGCCTGTCTCACTCGGTTTGCGCTTTTGGGGTTTTGGGTTGGTGTCTTTTCCTTGTTTTGCCTTTAGGCCCCCTGTGTTTATCTGATACGTCTGCTGCAGCCTTGTGACTTCCTGCCGCTCTGAACTCCGAGTGTTTCCTTCCTTTAACTTGACCTTGGTGTAGTTCATCACCGACAACAGTCTTGATTTCCCTTTCTTGTGCTGCTCACATTCTTACCCGCAGACTCAGAGCGGTTAGTTGGAAAGGACCTTTGGAGATCATGGTCATTTGGCCATGTCCAGTGTGAGGCAGGACTGTTGCCAGCACTAGGCTGAGTTGGTCATAGCTTCATCCAGCTGAGTGTGAGACCTCCAAGACCTGCTGACCTGAAGGTGAAAGCACAAGGTTTGTGGTCTGGGACTTCTTATCTTTCATGTTGGGTGACACACACATTTCTGAGGAATCTTTCCTTGCTGGTTTCACCAGCTGGATAAGAAGAATTTCATGCAGCACTGGGGAAAAAGTATTTGTGCACAGAGAGGGTTTCATCTTCGCTAAGTGAGTAGTGCTCTGTGTTTCTGGCATAGTAACGAGAGCTGGTAGGTTAATCCGGTGCAGTGCCTGCAGGCTTCATCTCCCACTTGACGTGAGGTGGAGGAATTTTTGCTCTGGGTTTGATACTGATGTATATCTGCAGGGTAATGTTTGATCCAGCTCATCTATAGCAAAGGGACTCCACCCCTTCTCCTTTCATTAAATTTTTGAAGTTAAGGAATTCTGTGCAGTAGAAAAAGGTAATTCATGGCTGTCAGGTTGAAGGTAAACTTTCTGTTTCTGAAGATGAGGGAAAAATTGTGTTCATCAGTGTGGGTAACAGAAACAGCAGTACTGAATGTGGCATGCCGAAGATAAGGAGCCACTTGGTGAGAAACTCATTGACAGAGTCTCTAAAACACTTAAATTAATTGCCTTGTCCCTTGTGCTTTAGTTTGAATGGATACAGCTCATCTGTCATCTTCACTATTTTTTTTTTTTCTCCCCTACACTTAAAAACCCCAGAATCGTATGTTTGCTGCTCCCACGTTAGAGTTTCTTTGGCCCTTGATTTTTGCAATGGACCTGTTATTTCAGGCTAGTAAGGCATCAGTTTGTGGGTACAGAATTTTTAATAGCATTTTTAAAGTCTTGATTGTGCTTGACTTTATGGCAGCCTAAGTGAGATTTTGAGCAGATACAAAGCTGCTGGCAGCAAGTTATTTTCACATAATGACTTTTTCTCAATGTAAATGATAACCTCTTACATGATGGCTTAATATATGTGCTACTTACATTAATATTATCTTGAAATCTAAGGGATATCCCAGAAGCAGCTCATGGAAACTGTATATCCTTACTTTGAATTCAAAATGTACTTGATTTTTAAATTTTATTCCTGAATTCAGTTTTTATGTCCATCTTTGTTGTTTATGGCTGCTGCTGTTTTGAGCAATTTAATTTCATACCTTATAAAATTTGTTCATTTTTTGGCCTGGACTATGTTGCTGATAGAGTAGGGTGCAGTTACAGAGTCAAGGTGTGGTTTGTTGCTAGCAAATCCAGTCTAATTCTTCCATAACATCATTAAAGTCCCACTGGAAATGGGGGCAGGTGGCCCCAGGGAAGGGTTGTTTCCACTATGATGGCTGCACTCTGTCTGCTTTTATCCGGCTTGAGTTCATTCGTGACCAGTTTTGGATAATTATTCTGCTAATGATTGTCCTGCTGATTTGTTTGCCCCCTGCTTTCTGTATCCCATTATCTTTACTGTTGTACAGAGAGCAGTCATGTTTCCTCTCAAATTTACTTCTTCTGAACTAAACAAGCAGAGATTTTTTTTCTTTTTCTCTAGATTTGTATTTCTTTTTGTTTTGATCTGTCAAGAAGTTCATTTTTAGAATAATGGGACCTTGGATTTTACTTTATTTATCTTAAAAGAGCAGCTTTGACCTCTCCCAGATTGCTGTGAGACATGGCCTAAGAAAATTGTGTTAGAAAGCCTCAGGAATCTCCAAATTACTTTTTGTCACATCATTACAGAAAATGCAAATGGCTTCTTAGCCAGATATTTCCAGAGAGATTCTTGGCCCCAGCTGCACTTGGAAAGTTATTTTTTGTAAGGAAGGAATGAATGTTATTTATGTTTCATTATTTTAATACACATTGCATTTCCTAGAAACATAAAGAAGCCCAGCCAAAATGATCGGTTTCCTTTGAAATGGTTTTTGTTAAAGACAGAATATCCATTGCTCATCCTCGATCCTGAGGAAAGGGGAGTATTCAGCACCTGCAAGCCCTGAAACGCCTGTGTGCAGCCAGCCTGGTCTGCCTGCAGGGCACCAGCGGGAGAGCCAAGCAAAGCCCATGCTGGTGTGCACTACGATTCTTGGTCCCTGGTTGTTTTTTCCAGGAGCTTTAAACAAAAAATTCTTCATGGGAGGAACAGAGTTACTTCAGGCCTGGCCTCTGTAACGCTTGTGAGGAGAGTCTGGGAAGTGATCTCGGGTTTGCCACAGGTAAAGGTGACCTAAATGCATTGGGGGCAGTGCTGAGGGAGCCCAGGGGCCCAGCCTTTGGAGGCAGTCAGGTTTAGGAGCAGCCTGGGGGATGCTGAGTCCCCTGAGACAGGATGGAGACCTGCAGGTCCTGCTGAGCAGGTTTCACACGTGCTGTGTCAGGCTGGTGAGCCTCCTAGATCCAGCTGGAAGGGAGCCGCAGGAGTCCACGGGTGCTGGCGTAAGGTGAGTGGCTCCATTTCCCTCCTGGCTCCCTCTGCTCTCTTTGCGTCAGTGCATATTTGAGGTGTAAAAAAATAACAAGCAATTCCACTGCTTCAGTTTACAAGAGGCACAGATGTTGGCTCATCTCTGGCCCTGTGAAAATACGCCAGTGTTTTTGCAGAAATCTGTGGGAGACTTGCTTGTGGGCGGTGATTTTTTGGTCTGTTTCTCCTCCTTGTGGAAGATCAATGCAGCATCAGTTTTCTCCTTTATCTCTGTTACTTGGCTGGTAGCAGCAACAGAACTTTGTAAACTCGACATAAAAAGCAACACAGCATTTAGAAAGTTGACTGGAAAATGCTATGAAATGGTGCCCAGAAGTGGCCTTATCAGTTTATGAAAGGAGCTGATGTGGGATGTGTAAAACCATCTTATCTTGTCAGTTTTGGCTCTTTGTTAAAACTTGTGGAGTTGTTACAGCCAGGACGTGTTAAAAATGTGCACGGGACAAGGTTTGTAGCCTAACAGTGTCATTTCTTATTGGAGGAATGAATAAAGCTGAGAAAAGCACTACTTGCCTGAGATTTACCTGTGTTACTTGATCTAAACAGATCCTGCTTTGGTTTGCCTTTAAACCTCGCTTCTCTGGTAGTGGTTCATTATGCGATAGAATTGCTTAAATTGCTCATTTGAAGAAAGCCTCTATATTAGATGTATGCAAGGAAAATCTGTAATACAAAGGAAAAGCGGTACCACTTCTTCTTTTCTGCTAACAGAGGTTTCTCCTTGCATTAGGAATCTCCTCTGTAATCTTACTTTTCCAGAATGTGTTTGTCTTAGGAGGTATTTATGGTTTCTGAGTTGTGCGAAGTGATGCTTTGTAATTCAAAACTCAGTATTGTTGGGCAATCAAAGAGAGAAATATGGTTTGTCCGTACAGCAAGGCTCATATTTCCTACCACAACAGAATAGAAATGCACATTTTATGAATCTTTTACTGTCCTTATGACTTCAACCTTGGAAAGACAGACGTACAAGTACTGGTAGCAAAGCAAGCTGGAGTGAATTCCTGCAGTGTTCTACACTATACTGCAAAATGTGGCCAGGGAAGGGGATACAATTAACAGGTTCATAAGTACTGGACTGACTGACTGTGTTGGGCTTTTTGGGTTTTCTGTTGGTTTTGTTTTTGAGGAAGGAAGCTAAATGAACTGGACTTCATCTCTCTTTGTAGGTCAAGTCTGTGATAAATCTGCTGTTTGCTGCCTACACGGGGGACGTGTCTGCACTCCGGAGGTAACAATCAGCGTGGGGCTGGGAATAGGAAAGCTGCTTGTTTGGTGCCTGCTGTTGTTTACTTATAATTATAAACTGTGTCCGTGTTGGGGACATCCCTGCTGCACTGGAGATTCAGTATGTCCTATTGACACAGGCTTAATTAGTGCATTTTAATAGTTAGGTTTTCCTGATTCCTTCTTCGGTTGAATGTGTTAGAAAGAAAAGGTTTGAAAAATCACTGGTATGCACAAGGAGAGAGAGATAAATATGTGTCAAACAAAACCTCCTAAAATCTGACCATCCGAAAGGTGCTCTCACACTATCCTGTAATCCCACTGTTTCCTGTTCCTTTGGATTGCAGTGAAACAATTTCCTTAACCAGTCGTTTCATAGTGACGGCAGAAAATCCTCGCTGTGCTCTGGCCTGCTTTATAATGCAGTTCTGAAACTGCCGCAAAAAATGAGGCTGGAAAACCCACGTTGTTGTTGGAGAAGTTAGGAAATCTGGCTTTGCTTTCTAAATCTGGAGTAGAATCTGGCAATGATTAAAGTAGTGATAGTAAGAGACTAATTAAATGTATCAATTTGGCTAGAATATACCTGAATATAATTAGTGGCTGGACAAATGTGTACAGTTTAACTCTGCTGTCCTGGAACACCGTAGTGTGATGACAGATCTCTCCCAGTACTGTGACGCTGTTCAGGATTTTCAGACTTGGGACTCCTCTCTGGGTGTCCTCAGCTGGCATGAATTTACTCTGCTTTAGATGACTTAGCTTATTTGTGTTAGATTTTAAATCAGATATGTTTCTCACAAAGACATTTTATTTTTCTTTAGAGACTGGAAAGAAAGTTAAGCCCCTACATTATTTTTAAAGCCAAAGCTGTAAGGGCCCCTTTCATTATAACTGAAGATACAATGTGCTTTTGGTACCATTTATATCCTCTTGCAGCAGATGTTTCATCATTTTAGCATAGGGTATTGTTCCATGCTAGTTTTGTAACTTGTTTTAATTACGTAAGACTTCTCTGTAATCATTTTGGGGATTTTTTTTTTTTCCCCCAGATTTGCTCTGTCAGGAATGGATATGGAGCAAAGAGACTATGACTCACGTACAGCCCTGCATGTGGCAGCTGCAGAAGGTAATGTCTCCTCGTGTGTGATTTGCTCTCTGTTAATGGAATGTGGTCAGTTTTCTGCAGAGTATCTTCAATCTCTATATATGCAGACCTGTGTTTAATTTTTTTTCTGTGTATATATGTATATACATAGATCTACATAAATATATACACTCACTGTCCTGCTTTTCTTATAGGACATGTGGACGTTGTTAAATTTCTACTGGAAGCATGCAAAGTGAATCCTTTCCCCAAAGACAGGTGAGTGGTTTTATTGCCAGTTTGGAGGAGAGATGCTCTAAGAGCAGCCACCTCTTTAGCCCCTGTGAGGAGAGGTGTCTGTCAAGTAGAGTGGAATGCATTGTGCCAGTACACTGAAGCAGAAGGAACACGATCCTACTGGTTCTCTATAGGTTCTGCAGAGCAAACAGGAATTAAAAAAATGGTGAAACTATTAAAACTATTATTTAAAAGGTTATGCACAACTCAAAGTATTTTCACAGTTCATGTGCTTAATTATTATCATGGAATGTAAGGAACTAGAGTTCTGGTGCTTTTGGCTCTGTACTTATGTGCTGATCTTAGAAATACTGTGCTCCTTCCTCCAGGTGGAATAACACTCCTATGGATGAAGCTTTACATTTTGGACACCATGATGTCTTCAAAATTCTTCAAGAATATCAGGTCCAATACACGCCATCAGAGGATTCCAACAACGGAAAGGAGAACCAAACGGTTCATAAAAATCTAGATGGCTTACTATAATAATCTTCAGCTAGATCCTAAGAATCAAATCACCTATTTAATTGTGGTATACATAAGTAAAGAAGAGCGTGTGTGTTTCTATCTGATAGTGGTATATATTTTACAGAAGTCTCTGTTACTTCAGTGTTATGTTACAGGAGTTTCTATACGCACAGGACAAATCCAATCCCTCTCAAAAGAAACAAAACCAACTAAGAATCTCCCTCCATAATGTGAGCAATATTACCTCATGCTGCATATAATTGATGTATACAAATATTTAGCTGTTGTTGGCTTTACTGTGCACTACTTAATTTATTTTTGTGTTCTATGTGAACTCGAGTCTGTGGTCAGGAATTTTTCTGCTGAATTTTTGTTTCTATAGCCCTCTGTTTCCAGTATGGCCAGGATGAGCCAGAGTGCTGTCAGGTATGAGCGTCAGTGAGGTTTTTCAGCAGCTGAGGATGCTGATGTAGATTTAGGCTGGGTGTGTTAAAGTAAGGATCTGCACTTATTGTTGGGGGAAAAATAAATTAAAAAAAAAAAAAATTCCACACAAACTTGTTTACATAATATCAACAGAGTGTATAGGTGACAGTTGTCAGTGGTCTCGGCTTGTTCTTGTCAAGATAGTCTTGTCAGGGAATCTGTTTTAAGGTTTGTTTGACCAAATGGCGTAGGGGAATGTGACTTGTAAGATCAAACAGTGTTTAGTGGGGTTTTTGTTTTTGTTTTGGAAGCTTTTTTTTCAGTTCCCTTTGTCTCGCCTCCCTCCTCTCTCTCCATGTTCAGCTGCTAAAGTACTTCCCCATCGCTGGGGAAAGCGGGTGCTTCCGCTCCGTGCAGCCGTGTTCCTTGCAGGTATATTTGCACTACAACAAGCCCTGGCAAGCTGGAAAGAACCCCTTTGGGGCTCATATGTGGTGTTCTTGGCAGTTGCACCAGGAACCAGCGAGGGGAATGGAAGTATGTGAATGGCAAAGTACTAAACCAAATATTACATGTAAATCTGACTTAATTGAGGCTTGTAATAAGGAACACGGATGGAGTGAAACAGCTTTAAGGAGCATTGAGCCAATCAAAGCATGAGCAGAGCAGGAGATAAACCAAATTTTTGGGTATGTTCTCTTCTTGCACTACCATCAACCAGGGAGCAGGGTATTGCATCAGCGAGGTTCCGCTGGTGTAGAACTAGAGTTCAGCAACAGGAGCACAAGTAAGTGGTGCCTTTTGTGGTGAATGGTGGCATTTATTGTCTTGCCACTAAAGCCAGCTTGGCACGTGCCCCATCCCGGGAAATGTAGATGCAGATATTTGTTGTTTGCAGAAGTACAATGTTATGACAGTTCCCTGTCCCATGTGCAATTGCTTCTGCCCATACTGTGGCATAAAACCTCAACAGTGAAGAGTCACTTAGAATTCAATATTCACAAAACACCGCAGTTAGTGAACATAGGCAAGAATTTTAGCACAAGAATTTTAGGCAAGGATTGTTTAGCACTTGGAAAAGGAGATTGTGCTTGAGAATTGCGTAAATGGCTATTTTTATCTAGGACATAGCATAGAAGTCATCAGTAGGTCTCAAAGTTCAGATTTTCTATTTAGGCACCAAAATCCTCCTGAAGTAATGCTCAGATTCTTTTCTAGAATGGCCCAAGCACTTTATAAAAATGATCTGAGTCACATTATCCTCTTTTTGCAAATGAGCCCACTGAGGCATAGAGAGAACTAACTTCTCCAGAGTGACCCAGCAGGTCCGTATAGTTGAGAATAAATCCTCTCGAGTTCCTGTACAGTCTCTCAACGATATGCCATACTGCCTCTGCAGGGAGGGCAAATCACATGGAAAAGTGCTTGATACTCATCACAAGCAGTGACTATCTTCACAATGATGAAATCTTGGAAGAGTCTGAAAGTCTGAAGCCCTGAAATCCCATTTTGAAGCTGGCTGGCATGGTTATCAAACACTTTTTCTCAAGAATCTTACTGTTCTTAAGCTGCTTCTTTTTTTTTCTTCTTCTTTTTTTCTAAAGATCAGCTGTTTTTCTGGAGACTTTTAACCCATTCTTTTCACGTGCTGTGTCACAGCCACCTTAGTTCTAATCAAGAACTAAACAAAATGGCCTCTGGCTCTTTATTGAGCCACACTGGTCACCAAGTAGCACAAGGCCTCTTCCCTGCTGCACCATGAACTAAATTCCAACATGTTTTCTCTGGCAACAGATCTGTCAACTCCAGAGTAGAGGAATGTTGTCAGATGGTCTCCAGTATTCTGTATCTCAGTGCTAATCTGACTTCTGCCAATTTTATTTTTTTTCTCCATTAAAACATATCCTTTGGTTTCTCAGAAAAATACCTGATTTAGCTTTATTTAATTGAAATTTGCATTGTTCATACTGGCATTTTTGAAAGATAGGTAAGTTATAGAATACACATATATATACCAAAAACCAAAAGAAGGCATTTTAACTGAGTTAACATTAAAAATCATGGCTGTCCCTAAACTTAATACTTTCCTGAATCATACTGAATGCTTTTAGCTGGTCTTAGCTTCAGTGCATTTTTGCTGGTTAGTTTTAGTATTTTCTCATTGTGAGAAGATGCATTATTCTGTAATGTCCAATTCAGCGATGCAGCTATTTAGACATGGCGTTATTTATAAATATAAATATAAATATATGCAGTACCTTGGTTTGGCTGTTTATAATTCATGGCACTGACATGTAGATTTTACCGTAAATAGCTTTTGGTTATCTCATTAAACGCTGATTTCCTTATGCTCCAAAGAGGATTCCCCCATTCCTTTGTTTTTATGTCACATACGTTTCTTCTGTATCACAACCTAAAATCATTAAGCTAACTTAATGCTTTGTACTGAGAAATATTGTGATAGTCTTAGCATTAATTAGCCTATCTTTGTGAACAAAATGTGTTGTACCAGATTTCTTTGCTTCAGAGCTGGACTATCGGTGACTCTGCTTCTTGGCAGTGTACTTCTGGTCATTGTAACTGACTGGGCTGATCTTGACTTTTAGATTCTGTATTGTGGGGAATCCACAGTGATGAATGTATTTCTAGCAGTTTCCCATGAATGAATCTAAACTTGAGCTGTACTGGTTCTGAAAATGAAAGTTATTTATTTTAAGAAATAAAATCCAGCGGGTGTTGCTTTTTACAGCATAATAAATGGAAATACCAAGATGATGGTGATGGGTTTTATTGGTTGTCTATGTGATGTTGAAATAAGCCTTCAGTCAGGGGGAGGGCTGTTCAGGAAAACCTCCTCTGTTCATTTCCATTGTGCAAAGCTTACAGGAAATCAGAATGAGTTTACCTGACCTAGCTTTGAGGTTTTTTTCTCTTTTCTTTATTTGTTTTATTTTTAAACCTACACTTCTAGAGCTGTGTCCTTTCACTGGTTGCTTTTTGTTAATACTGGGACTCCTAAGTGGACTGGCCATGTGCCCTCAACAGCTGTAGCTTTTTCTTCCCTACTCTTCACTCCTGCTATCCTTCATCTCACCAAGTTTCTTTCCTTTTATTATTCTTCTGGCTGTGTCGTTAATATAAAAGCCTGACAAATGTGAGACAAGGGATTGTATGTGTCACTTAATAGCTCCAAAGAAAAATGATGCAGCAGTCGGCCAGCCTCATAGCTCACAAAGTTTAGCTATAAATCAGTTATCCTACTGAACAACGTGGATTAGAAGTTCTAGTTGAGTTTATTGAAGTTTGGTTGGGGAAGAAAAAAAAAATCAATGATGTGATACAAGCAATAATAATAATAATAATAAAAAATTCTAACAGCCACCTTCTAAGAACTCCATAATGCAGACTGACCTGCAACAATGCAGTGAAATAAAAGCATCTGTATTGCCTTAGGCTTCAGAGTTGTAACTGTTCACTAGCACAAACAAATTTAAAATGAGATTCACAGTAAATTATTGGCAGACACATCATCTTTATAATAGAAGTAGCCAGAAAACAAAAGAGAAAGGTAAAGAGTGTCAACTGACAGTTCCGTTTATTTAAAAATCCACTGCTTTTAGAACTACTGGCCAGGTCCAGACAAAGCATGAACAAGGCCATTGCTTTAAATCTCACAAGAAAATTTCACCCTGGTTAATAAAATTGAAGTACAAGAGAATGACAACAAACTGCTGCATATAGCCCATGAGTACAAGGTGTAGCTCAAGAAACAAATATTTGATTTTTGTATGACAATAAAGATATACATTCAGCTAGTTATAATAAAATACAGGCATTAAGTCAGAGTTGTGGTATCTGTAGCACTGTTAACCTCAGTAACCCAGGGCACCAAAAATAAGTCAGTTTAGCAATGCTTTCCATTTAAATAAATGTTATGTGCTCTAGATCCTTTAAATTTTCTTTCTTTCAGTCTTCCTGGGCACAACACTTAACTGAACCAGTCATTTATTTTCTAAGCAGCAGCTGCTCTAGCACTTGTGAATGGTAGCGAAGTAGCTCTGCAGTCCCTGTGAATCACACTGGCCAGTGCTGCCCTCCCAGCAGCAGGCTGAGGAGCTGCAGGACCAACCGTGTCAGAGTCACAGATGGGCTGAGGTTGGGGGTCATCTTGTCCAACCCCCCTGCTCAAGCAGGGCCACCGAGAGCCAGCTGCCCAGGTCCTGCACCACAACATGTGGGATCCAGCACGAGTGTTGTGCAGTCGCCCTGCTCAGCTGTGTGCTAATGAGCAGTCTGGACTAACGCCTGCCCTTAGTCCAAGCGACACCTGCTTAAGACAACCTTGCCTCTTTACTGTGAGCTGTTAATTCAAACACTCTGAGAAACAAACCTGCTCCTCCTCTGGTGGAAGCACAGCTTCATCCTTTCACATACTAAAAAGTACATATCCTGCTGCCATTACTCAATATCAATTTAACTTCTTCACTTTAGACCTAATTGCAAAGCCACTTCATTATCAAAGCCGGTAGGGTCTTCTAGCTATTCAGATCAGCAGTTAAATAGATGCCCTGGTTCACAGTGGATGAGAAAATTTAAGTTCCATTGTAACCTAAATGGTGCATGTATTATTGTAAAAGATAACGAGTGACCAGATCTGCGCCTTGGTAGATTAAACAGTTTGTGAAAACATACTGCAGCCTCTTTAGCACCCTTTAAGAGTAGGTTCTCATTTTGCCTGATACTGCTGCTAGACAGCATGACTGCAG